TTCTATCGTCCGATGTCCATTCCGGTTTTGGCTTTTGTACGTACTGTGGAGCATCCGGGGATATAACAAACGCCGTATTGACTTTTAATATTTCAATAGGGCCAGTGGAAATAACTTCCCACATTTCATCGTGTAAAGCCGATAAGTGTACCTGCATACGAACTTTCCAATCATCAAATTTATCAAGAGAGAATAATAGATTTTGAGCTAAATCTTTCTTCATCATCATCACGAGAGATATGAAAGATTAATCCAATTCACACACTTTGTAGAATGGATCTGTCTAGCAGTCAGAAACGGTTGACCCAGTTAGGCACGTGCTTAGATAGCAAATTGGCCTAAATAGACAGCCTGCTCTGATACCAATTGTTGGTCCCAAAAGAGGTAAGGTGAAAGTCTAGAGGGGGGGGGGGGGGGGGGTGAATAGACTTTCAAACTTTTTCGCACAGCACAACAATTGCTAAAACAGAGATAAACCAAAACTCTTAACTAGATTGTTAGAGTATGGTGCACAGCGGAAATAAATAAACATAAAGTGTGTGTGAGATTGTGTGAGTAGTATATCTTCGTGAGAGCAAATATGTAAAGAGCAGTATGTAAAGAAAGCAGTAAAGAACACAAGACAATTATAGTGGTTCGCGAGGTGGTGTAATCCTCCTACTCCACTTGCTCTTTTCTCCAAGAGCCAATTCACTATATCTACCACTCCTTGGTTCCAAGATACAATGAATTTCCGTGATCTAGTGCTTTGATCACAAAGCCCGCACTAATCACGCCCAGTGACACCACACTGCTGCTTCGGGTTTCACGTCGCCGTGCTACTATCCCAGGATTTCACGACTCCGCGTTACTTTCCCCCCGTCTTCCACACTCCGGTAGAAACGTATCCCGTGATCTGGTGCTTTGATCACCAAGCCCACACCAATCACGCCCAGTGCATCCGACACTGCTGCTTCGGATCTCACAGCTTCGTGTGACAATCCAGGATTTCACAGCTCCGTGCTACTTTCCTCCCTTCTCTTGTTTTGCTCCAAAACAAGTGTTGTCTTGCTTCCAACTTCTGAGACTCTGTAGATGATCTTCAATGATGCGCAGGTCTCTTTGATGAAGATAAACACTTTGGAATGATTTCTCTTGACAGCTCTGAGTGTTTTCTCTCTTTGAATATATCAAGTAAAGCACTTGATATTTATGCTCTGTTTTGCTCTGTTTAAGAACTCTCAGAATATTTCTCTTTTGAAGCTCTCTGAGTTCTTTTTCTTTTCTCACTTCTCACTTGAAGATTTTTGGTATGCTCTGTACCAAATGAGATTTTTGCTCTATGCTCTTTCAAGCTTAATTGCTCTATTCGATCCCTTTGATGGATTCGAATTTTCTGCTCTCTTGTTCGTGAGTTCGTTCAACTGCTCTATGTATCTTCAAGTCTTCACATCTTCATCATTTTATAGCTGGTAATGAGAATCTGTCCGTTGGAAAGAGACGCTCTCATTTTTGAAATCTTGTATCTTTTGTCAGAGATCTTATCTTATCTTCTGCAAAAATGTCAGAAAGAGATAAGCTAGCCGTTTGATGGAGTTTCTTCTCCATGTAAATGAGCTCCCAAACTTCATCTGATACTCCTCTGTTTTAACGTTGAGTGAAAATATCTGGGTCTCAGTTTTGGTGTAGAATGGCTTCTCTGATCAGCTCTGAAGTGGTCTTTGTATCTTTGGGATTTAAAAATAATATTTATTTTAATCCCATACTAGTTAGACTAGTAGTTTCCTTGTGAGAGTATTTTTCACTGTAAGTTCTGCTTCATCTTCTTCATTCTCACGTCTGGGTGTTCTCTGACTTCAAACTGGCTTTGAACTTCCACCCAATTTGAATTTTTCTTTGTAATTGACACCCAATTTCAATTGGCTTGTAATTGGCACCCAATTTGAATTTCTCCATTGTAATTGGCTCCCAATTGACTTTGACTTGCAATTGGCTCCCAACTGCTCCTGGTGCTTTCAATTGCTTCCCAATTTGAATTGTTGACTTTGACTTTGAAATTGGCTCCCAGACTTCTCCTGGTATTTGCATTTCATCTCAATTCAATTTGATCTCCATGTCTTCTTTGAATCGGTCCCCAACTTTGAAATTGCATCCCATACTACAACCTCAATTGGCTCCCAATTTCAATTCTACATTGGCTCCCATATTGAATTGATTTCCATGTGAAACTTGCTCCAAACCAATTTCAATTGATTTTGATTTCTCTGAAACTGGCTCCCAATTTTAATTGAGACTGGCTCCCAATTTCAATTGCTTCGAACTAGCTCCCAATTTCAATTTCTATGAAATCGGCTCCCAATTTCTTTGAATTGGCTCCCAAGTGCAATTGCATCTCAATTGCCACCCAAGTGAAATTGCTCTTCCCAATTTCCACTTGTAATTGGCGCCCATAGCTTAAACTAGCGCCCAACTCCATCATTCATCTTCTTCTTCAATTTGTCATTTTCTCCAGACAAATTCTTGATTTTCGGCTTTATATCTTCTTCTTCTATTTTCATCCATCTTCCTCTGTTTTTCTCTTTTCATAATTAAATAATTTCCCGATCACGGTCTAAGACTCTACTAGACCTATAAATAAAATTGGGGGATCTACAAATACAAATTTGGCATATCAAAACCATTACACTTTATTCCTAACAACTAAAGGTTGCCTAATAATCTCTTGAAGCAGATAAGGAACCATTTGGACTCGAAGTCCCTTACTTCATTATCGTTGGAGCACCATTTTAGAACCAGAAGTTCCACAATCGCAACATGCATGATATTTGCGATGAAGTTGCTAGCAAAATCTAGTACTCCTCCTACAATGAAGTATTTGAATAATGATTAACATATCCTCTGGTATCTTCAAGATACAAAGACATGATATTTATGTAAGAAACTGTGATACGGTTTTAATAGGCTACTTGGGTACTTGCTATTTTGTTTGATCCCCGTAATTCCAAGTCCAAACTGGTTATATAGTGAATTTCCCTAAATGATCAAAATGAGGACAATAACACTTGTGTTGCACAAATGTTATATGAGCTCTAGAAAAGCCATAAGATTATTGTACACTACTCTAGAGACAATCCAGAAGATTTGTCCAAATCCATCTCTTCAAATTTTGAAATATAAGTAGAACTTAAGATTGTTATCTTCAGGGGGGAGACGGGAAGTATATTTACTCGAATCAATTCGGAAGATTGGACGTAAAATCCTGAAGATTAAGTCATAAAAGACTAACAGTTGCGCACTATTTACAACACAACGGGAAGTACATTTACTTGAATCAATCCGGAAGATTGAACGTAAAATCCTGAAAATTAAGTCATAAAAGACTAACAATTGCGCACTATTTGCAACGCATAAATACATGAATATCATGTACTCTTTTCCTCACTAGTTTTCTCCCATTGGGTTTTCTAGTGTGGTTTTTAACGAGGCATGAGTATGATATAGTAATGACAATAAGGAAAAGTTGCAAAATAATTGGTTAAATGGACAAACCCTAAAATCTTGAAGATTATGCGGTTTGCGCCCTGAAGGCTTATGGTTGTACTCTTTTTCCCTTAACTAAGTTTTTCCCACAGGGTTTTCTTAAGTTAAGGTTTTTAATGAGGCGACCAAATACAATATATGTTTTTACATATATCATGTACTCTTTTCTTCAACTAGGTTTTTCCCACGTGGTTTTCCTAGTGAAGTTTTTAATGAGGCATGAATATATTTTTTTATTGTACTCTTTTCTTGTCTAGGTTTTTCCCACCGGGTTTTCCTAGCAAGGTTTTAACGAGGCAAGGTCGTGGCCAAATAATGTCCAAGGGGGAGTGTTGTAAATAATATTAAGTGGACATTATTATAGTGTTTATAACACTTGTAACGGTCGGAGGTTTATGACCACACTTATGGTTTCCGTTCCAATTGTACATTATATATATGTGCTAATACCTTCTTGTATAGATGTAGTTTTGGATGCAAGATTAATAAAACTTCCTTGTCTCTTATCTTGTCTCTACTTTTCTTCTACTTTTCATATTTTGTGCCACTTGCAACTGTATTCATCGGCTAGGAGCTAAATGGCCAACGGGCATAATCTCCCAAAACAATATATGATAAAGTAAAATTTTCATTCTATCATTTTCCCGACCAAAATAATTATATTGATCAAATTATTTAATTATGGTAGACTATGAAATAATTAATGAAGGAAATATATATATATATATATATATATATATATATATATAAATCAGAATAAATCTAATCCTTTATTGTCTTGCTATATTCAAAGATAATACTACGTAACAAACAATACTCACGTATTTTTTTTTTATAAGAGAGAGGGGGGAACCCCAAACAGATACTAAAAAGAGTCATCCATGCACTCCAGTGCGCCTGATGGCAACAGCTCCTAATTGATCGCTTCGAACAAACAATACTCACGTATTACAATACTCATTATGGTGCACAAAATTAATTTAAAATATAGTTAAAATTTAATTAATCCATCAAAATTACTTTTTTAATTATTATAATATTTTATAATTATTATATATTTTTTCTTAAAGTGTAACCTAACTTCTCATCTCCATTGTTTTAATTTTGGATACTTTGACGGCGGACTATTAAACAATTTTCACACATTGTTTTAAATAAGAAACAATTTTCATGTATATAGACTATTTAATGAAATAGGTATTAAAGTTTATATTTTTTGAATTAACGTGTATTTTTTATATTTTATTATGTAATTTATATATAATCAATTATTAAATAACATTACACAGAATATTATGAATATTGACTAATCAATGAATTAGGTATTAAAATTTACCTTTTTCGAACTAACGTGTATTCCTTATATGGTATTTTGTAATATATAATCAAAAATTAATTAACATTACACGAAATATTATGTATATGGACTAATTAATGAATTAGGTATTAAAATTTACCTTTTTTGAGTTAACGTGTATTCCTTATGAGGAGGACTTAGAAACAGTGGCTTGCTTCTTGGATTTCCATGAGATCAAGGCCTTCCCCAAGAAGATGCAGAACCCTGTTACAGACTTTCTGGAATCAATGCAAGCACCCCAGTCTGCATCAGAAAAAGCCTTCAGGCTTAGATCAGAAGATGCTGGAAAGAACAGTCCCTGTCCTGGAGCACTTTTGATATATCTTAACACCCCGTGAGCTGCTTGTAGGTGTAGGTGTGTAGGTTTATCCAGAAATTGAGACAACTGTTGTGTGGCAAAGCTAATGTCAGGCCTTGTAATAGCAAGATACAATAATTTCCCAACCAGTCTTCTGTACTGGACATTATCATCAAGGAAATCACCTTCATCCTTACTTAGTTTGTGGGAAGGGACAGTAAGACTGTACACAGGCTTAGAATTAATAAATCATGTTTCTTCCAACAACTCAAGAGCATATTTCCTTTGTGATACTGCAATTCCCTTCTTCTGCCTTGCTACCTCCAAGCCTAGGAAATATTTCAAAGTTCCTAGATCTTTTATCTGGAAGGTGTTATTGAGCTGAGTCTTGATATGCTGAATTAGAACTGGATCAGCACTTGTTACTACTATGTCATCAACATAAACTAGTAGTGCCACAAAAGATGATTCCTTGCCTTTGGTAAACACGGAATTATCTGCCACTGACTGTTTAAACCCCATTCTCTGTAAGGCAACACATAGTTTTGTGTTCCATTATCTACTGGCCTGCTTTAGGCCATATAGGGATTTAATTACCTTACAAACTATCTATTTGTTCATTCAACATATCTATTTTCTTTCCGCATTCACATCTGGAAATGCAATCGCAGAATGCAGGTGGTCTAAGTATCTGCAATTCGTCCCACAGTAGCTTCTGTTGAGTGAAATATTCATTCAACGAATTGTCACCGTGTTTGGATTGATAGATTTCGCAGTTGATTTATGCGACTCGAAAGAGATCTTGTTGGCTAAATCTCTTATTTAGGTCTCTCCATACTCCATAAGCTGTGTGGATCCAGAGGACGCTCCGGCCAATTGTTGGTGATAGAGAGCGAATCAGCCAGGTTACCACCATATTATTGCATTGCTCCTAGTATGGATACCTCCGATCATCTCTGGAAGGCTTGGTAATGGTTCCATCCACGAACGCCAGTTTGTTTTTGCACGATAGTGCCATGGTTACAACCCTAGCCCATGGATGATAGTTCGGACCTTCTAAGGGAGTTGATACAAGCTCCAAGGCTGGATTCTCACTTGCATGCATAAAGTATGGATTGGATTGCGATTGTGAATCTAAGGATACCTCTGTTATATTGGAAATGTTCGGCAGAGTAGTAGATGAAGGTGTCGGAGGCGCCGGAACCGACGCCGGAGATCCAATTGCTGGACCTCCTGCTGCATTATCGCTAGGTGTTGTCCGGGTACCAATTGACGGCAATGCTGCCATGGTGACTCCTTCGTAGACTCCTCACAGGTGCTCTGATACCATATTGCGATGAGAGGAAGAAGGAAAGCAGGTTATGCAAAACGGGTATGAAAGGTGAATTTTCTGTGTATTATTCAAGGAAGCAGCCAACTTATATATGTACGTACTAGAGAAGGCAGTAAGGGAAGCGGGAAAACTAATTACAAAACAAGACTTTCTAACTACTTTCAACAGTCATAACAAAGTTAGTTATGGAATGATGAGGTGGTGTATCACATGCTGCTTGACCCTCTTGATTCCTAAAAACTCCCCCGAGGCAAAAGCCACTAATATGGGATTTGATTACCCCCTTAGTTAGAAAATAGCTAGAAAACTGATTTTTAAGTTTGAATTAGTGCTTTTAGATTATTTTTTTCTTTTGTTCATATTGAGCTTTAGATGTCTTTATATTAGAATAAATTGTCTTGATTTTTTGTTTTTGTATTTTTAAAACCTTTGTTCCCATTATAGGATCATACCTAACCAAACAACAATATTGGTAATCATTCCAATTCCACCCTACTACCAAACATGTAAAATACTTTCACCAAAACATATTACCATTACCAAGTATTTGATTATCATTCTGATTCCGATTTCTAGGTGCGAACCAAACACACCCTAGATCAATACTGTAACTGTAGCAGAAGTCATCATGTAGTCACTCCTGACTCAACTCCAACCCATTGCCAGTGATCAATTTGCATGGTCTTAAGTGCATGCTTGCTGAATTCCCTAGGGATATTTTCTCGTTCCATTATTGGTATGAAAAACTTCTCTGGTCTTGAATAAGTGGCAACTGGCAACTAAATCTACATTGCAATTATATTACAAGCTCAGGTAATCTCCATTCATTATTTATCATGTTTGAATATAATGTTCATTAATTATCATGTCTTACATTTAAATTGAATATTTAAATCGAATTCATCTTACATTTAATTTGAATATTATATTCCGTATTTATCTAACTCTAACTCATTGCTGCATAGTGCATATACATTTAAATATTGTATTTCTCTTGCAGACTTTTGATATCATGTAATCATATTAAACTTTGAATACTTTAATTTGAAATTGAATTATTACTGTAAAATTCAATTCGTTAATGAGATTCATATATAAAATCTTGTTCAAAAACAAAACTTCGACTCGTGCTTGTATTACTATGAGACTGCTTAATTACCTCCTTAGATAATCCCTGGGTTCCATGCATATTTGTCATCCCAAAACATAGTTCCATTGCGGTATATTTGTGGAATTGTGGTATATATGCTCAACATCTAAAAAAAATGAAAGTTAATGCAGAACAGAGTTTAGATAGCCTTTCTATTTTGAGTGACGTGACTTTAGTAGTTTAGTTGCAGGATCAGTCGTTGAATATAATACATCCCCAGCTTCAATTCGGGAGAGGACTATGCCAATATATGTTACACCATAACCAGGGTTACAACCACCTTACATTGTGGACCCTACTCTAAAAATTATGTATTCGTAGTTAATAAATTATGTGTCAATAAATACACATAATTTGTTAACTATAAATACATAATATGTTAACTGCAAATAACTAACAGGCCCGACTCTAGGTAAGAGCAAGCTGGGCCCTTACACAGGGCACAACTCACCAATCGTTATGCTGTGCAATCGAGTGCACCATGCTGAATTTGTTAGGAACAAGTGTAATTAGATTTTGATGATACCAAACTGTCTAGGATTGTAGACCCCTATTTTTCTTTTCGTAGTTAGGTCCCTCGTGACAAACGAAAGTTATTGTAACTCAACGATTGATTCACACCATGAGGTGTACGAATCTTACTTGAGACTAGCATAATAGGTCTACATGAAGACGTGAAGATGACAAGATGGTCGAAAGATGCTTCCAGGCGAAAGATGGATTGAGCAAGTCTCGGATAGACTTCATTTGACAAAAAGGATCTCTCGTCAAAGAGAAAGGACGAAATATTAAGTCAATCTTTCGACCAACATCTCTAAGTGAACAAGTCAAAGACAGACTTGTAAAAGACAACCTTCATTTAAGTGAAGCAATGAGAATGTTGTCTATGCCTCAGATGGGCAAATCATTCGAACAAAAAGTGTCTTAGGAATGATCTTCACAAAAGACAAGAAGCATTAAAAGACTTGTACCATCTTGTCAGAGAACAAGGACAAAAGTCATAATACTTTTGACTCCAACGGCTACATAGTACAAGTGCATTAAATGTTGATGCCCACTGGTTAATACACACTGGATATTAGGTTTGAAATCTTCATCTCCCTCCAACGGATGAATTTTTCAACCTATAAATACCTCTCTTCACCATTGAAGAAGGTGCTGGTTAATTCTACTCTTGCTATCCAAAAAGAAAAGCTCTTCAAAGAGTTTCATTCCTTAAAAAGCTTTTCATAATTAGTGATCTTGTGAAATTTTTCAAAATGCTCATCCATTTCCATACTTCACAATTTGAAGAAGTCTTGCATATTTTCAAGTGAAGATTCATCCAGATATCAAGACAAGGCTTCAACCTATTTGAGAAACACCAGATTATCTTTCCAACATCTCAACTTAGGAAGAAGTTGATAGAGGCGGAGTAAACTCGAGGAGATGAAAAACCTATCAAGTGGCTGTTCGGCTTAGTGATCAAGGAAGCCAGCTTGAAGTAGTTTGTACTAGGGTCTAGGAGTGATAGTGCAAACCCTTTCACTAGTTGTGAAAGAAGAGTGGAGTAGGCTTCGTTAACAGCCGAACCACTATAAAATCTCTCTCTCCATATCCTTTTACTTACTGCTTTATTACTTTCACGCATTGCATATCATATCGACCAAACGCTAAAATTTCCTAACAAAAGTGTGAAAAGTATATCTAAGACGAATCTTTAATTCCGCTGTGCATAGCTCCGAAAGGAGTTGCTTTGAAAAATAGATTAGAATCTATTCACCCCCCCCCCCCTCTAGACTCTCTTTCGACCCTACCGGGACCAACAAGTGGTATTAGATCGGTTACCTTGTACGGTAAACATTTTGCTTTACTGCCTGTAGATCCCTTTTGCAAAATCTATATAGGTTAAACTGCTTTTTCGTCTTTGCACGTATTTTCTTAAAAAATGGAAAGAGATCATTCTAACCGTTCTAGGCCCCTTACCTTTAATCTCTCTAAATTTGATGATTGGAAAGTCATGATGAAGGCACATCTCTCGGCTATTCGTGACGAAATGTGGGACGTTATAAAAGAAGGCCCCATCGTTGGAGGTAAAACTTTTTACCCGGGCACTTCTCTAATGAATAAATATGGAGTAATGTAAAATTTGTTATACTTCATATTGGTTGAGATAATATTTATACAAAAATTTGATACCAATATAATAACATACTTTGAATTTGATAAGAGTTATAGAGACCAAAATATTTCACCAGACATCATCTAACATAGCAATAAATCTCTTTGTATTGATTGATTATCATAAATTAGCCAACCAAAGCTATGGTGGTATTAAAAAAAAAAAATAATCTAGTTATATTGCACACAGATAATAAATGATTTTGGTGAAAAATCTTAATCCCTATAGCGTGATCATTTCAAATTCTAGCATGCTGAAAACTTTAGTAATTCATTTTTTTTTGTTGGTATATCCATGATTTTCACTGTCGGACACAATAACTAATCTCATCGTTGAATTGTAGGCACTTCTTTTGGGTGGAACATATGACTTGGAGATTACAGTGACTAATCTTCTCGCTGAATTGTAAACACCTCTTTTGAGTGAGATAGCTGGCCTGAAGATTTAACACTGCTCCTTACCCAAAGGCAGTGATTAAACCCTTAACCTTCGATTAAGGATAGATGAATTCCTTCCACTGAACCACCCCTCAAGTTTAGTAATTCAATTCTAACGTACAAGGAATTTGTTAGATTAGATTACAGAAATTTAACATATGCATAAAAAACCGTTGCCACCTAATATTTTAAATATATTCCCCTTAAAATTGCTTCCAAAACCTCACCGATATAGATAATACATAAATATATCTCCCATGCATGCAACAATTCTATTACTTCTCAATGCATCAAAGGATGATATACCACATGCTTATGGTTTTTGAAAGTATTCTTGGACTCACGTTGGCCCTTTATGAATTTTGAACTATGACTCAGGTGAATTGTTAAAATGCTCTATAGCACGCTTCTAAATCATGCATAAACTAACATGAAGTATTC